TATTATTATTATTATTATTATTTTTATTATGACTTTTTCCACATTCTATCGTCATCTGACTGTCTTATGGATCTATGGAATGTAAATAAATTATTATTATTATTATTATCAAAACAAACTTGATCACAAAATGAATCTAATGTGCCAGGTGCTATATGTTAAAATTACTGTGTGAAAATGTGTCAGCTTGTACTGATCTTTGTGTACCTTAACACTGTAATAGTTACAACCGTAACCAATGAGTGCGTCACTACGGCCATTTACTTAACAGGACTAAGGTTTATATCTTTCTTATTCTCTCTGGTCATACAACGAGAGTCAAGAGAAATTGACATACTTCAGAGGAATGAATAGCAACAAATGTGAAATACAAATGAATATTTCAATTTCATTTTCCACTTTGATGAAATTAAAAAATAGACTACAAAATTCTTGTTGTAGTTTCCTAAGAGTATTATTGTACTTACTGGGAGTGTTAGACATGTGTATTTATTGTAGAACAGGAAAATATATAAATATATTTTCCTCAACCGGATTTGAGAACAACGGGAAATGTCTTTTGACAGCCTGCACCATTTTATGCAACTCATGATTATGGAGGAGGAAAGAGGAAGTAGCGAGATGCAGAAAAGAAGAGGGTTCAAGCTGTCACCTTGAAACACTCCGCGGTGGTAGCATACCAACTCGGTTGACACTACACGTTTCCCAGATGTTAGAATGAAGCGCGTTTTCCAGAGCGGTAGTAGATTTTCAAAGCATCTCACTATGTCAGGTTGGACTTTCAGCACTTTGAGCAAGATGACAATTAGCTCATGAGAAGTTGCTCAAAAGCTTTATTTGTAGTCCACCCAGGCCATTGACAGTTTGCGCTTATAATGGACCGCATCTTGACAGATACATCTGTCAATCAACAGATTCTCCTTGCAACCTGCAATGCCACGTTTCGAACCCCGCTGCTCATATACCTCTTTCCAGATAGGATCAATATGGTGCAGTATGCGTTCGTTCAAGATGGAGGTGAACGCCTTGTATACAGTATTAAGACAGGTAATAGGTCGGTAGTTTTCCGGATTAGACAAATCTCCTTTCTTCGGAATAAGAACGGTGCGCCCTTCTGTTAACCAAGGTGGAATGGGCTCTGTACCACACAAAAAAGATGTAAAGATACGAGATAAATGTTTGTGTGTGCTCGTGAAAGTTTTCCACCAAAAATTATTGATGGCATCTATTCCAGGAGCAGAAAAATTCTTTTTGCCAGTAAAGGCACGTTTCACATCTTGTTCGGTGATCACTAGGGGCACATCATCATCCTCTAAATG